CCGACCAGCTGGTCGGAGTTCACGAGACAGCCGAACGTCGACTAACTTCTTAGCTGGTTCTTCTAAAAGAAGACCAGTTTACAGGCTATTTGGAACTCCTTGTATAGATTCTCACTTGAGATATCGTAAAACATCGAGGATTCCAGAAAAATTAATGGAGACTTACACTAGGACTTTACTTCCGGCATACAATCTTAATGTGTCATCTCCCGAGGGAGATGACAATCACATAAATTGAAATCTAAAAAGTTTATTCCATAATAATGACACAAACATTACTTTTATATTGTAATCTTTATATAAAATTAAAGAATGTTAAATAATAAAACATATTGGTCAGAGTTTTATCAAAAAAATTACAAAATGGTCTTTTTGTAAAAATAAACGTTCAAGTTCATAATTTCATTTGCAACATGCTTTTACCATGGAACATTAACATTTTGAAAGAGAAAATATTTATAATTACACATTACACAATATACATTAGAAAAGTCAAAACACTTTTCCCTTCAATTATTTGAACACTTTTTTTTTTACTTTTTTGCAAATCAAAAATTATGAATGAATCTCATAACTCAATGTACAAAATTGATTTATATAAATGAAAATTGTTTGAAGTTCTGCAAATGTGAATTTGTAATTATGTCTAGAATTTAAAAATGTACACAAAAGAATAAAAAAAAAAAATTAACAGAAATACTGAGGTTAAAAAATTGATAGCGACAGTAAATTGTATCAGAGTGATAAACATTCGATACAGAATGACTTAGAAAATAAATTTCAAGATTTGAATAATGACACAATATATAGTACTTGTGATATAAATGTAGATACTATAAGGACTCTGACAGTAAGCTCATAAGGTATGTGTTATACTAGTAGAGGATCCATAAACAGACCAACTTGTTTAGATACAATTGATAAATTTATGTGGCAGCAAAAAAATTCACATAACTTTGGGACAATATTTTGTAGAACTTTAGATGTTCCAGTCATTCTAGGTTTGCCATCACTGGTTTTGGGAGAAAACATAAATTAATCTATTTTCACCATCTCTGTCATAGCTATAGATCAGCTTTAGATGAGAAAGTGCCATCGTCTCTGCCAGACTCCTCTTCATGAAACTTTACCAATCAGCACACACAAATACCCGTAGTTCTTTGATTTTTCAGCATTGAACACCTGTTGAAAATGAGAAATATATTTGTACTACAGATGATTGTTTCATACAGATTAATAATGTGCATGTGATTCATTAAAAGTTTGCAGCAGAGATTATTCCCTCCAACATGATAACCTATACCCGGGGTAGTCTACTGCATGTAGTCAAATATTTTTCTTACACTGATTCCCGAGCAAATTGACGAATAAACATTTGATTTTAGAGCCACCAAATTTAAAATATATGTATCTACTAAATGATATAATAAAAACTGTTCATACCTTCAAAATCCTTTCATGTATTAATTGTAGATTTAATGTTGATGACAAGTTGTTTATCTTCTGAGGGTCTCCCACAATGAACTGTAGATTTTAGCTACAAAAAGGATAGATACAATTATATTACATGCAATTATTTAGATGCATGAACATGTAAATCCTATTTAGAAATTATATGCCTTGACCAAAATGTCATGGTTTAGATGAGGAATTGAGCTCCAATAATGTTTTATACTAGTTGTCAATGCCTAAATTATATTTTTATACTCGTTGTCAATGCCTAAATTAGATAACATAAATTCCATAAACAAATATAAATATAAATACTTACCTGTGTTACAATCTGTGTATTGAAGTTCTGCATCCCTTTGGATTTTCTCAGCTTCTGGGAACATCGATGGCAACTGCAAGCAATTTCCGCACTGTATGTACCACCTAACCCGAGTTTCACTCACATTTAAATGCTCTCTTGCAAGAGAATAATGGTCCGAAGTGACATTTTGAACACAATTTGAGGCAATGAACATCAAACTCGATGACCCTCCTTCGAGTCATATTACGAACTCTTAGTCTCTTACTGGTTAAAATTAGGGTCATACCATAACAGCATTCCTCTCAAACATGCATGGAATCACAAATAAGGTTATTTCACAAGTACAATCTTCTAAAGCAACTAGGGGCGCGTCAAATTATGTCTTTTCTTGAACCGTTCCTTCCCTGTCCGACTTTTCATGGGCGCCGCCATTTTGAATTTTATAGTCTCGGAGACATCGTTTTATTTTAAAAGATGTACATTTAAACGTAATTAAACGACAAATTTGTTATCTACTTGTTGTTTTCTTTAATTATCTATCAATTGAAACAAAAATATTCGAATTTTGGCCTTTGATATCGACTCGAACTGAAAAAAGCATTTTATTCCGTAAACTATCGAGATCAATTCGAAGTTTACCGAAAATTACAGCCTATTTGTACAATGGATACCTTAAATAAACTAACGAAGTACAGAGTTATGATGAGGAAGAATATCTCTTCTAAAATTGTGAATGTCATGGCCCTTGGGTCAGGGGTTCTGGTGTTAGGGCAGGGTTCTATTGATTATATAATGAAAACACATTAATTTCTCAAAAATTATCTTTTCTGCTCGTGGGCATCAAATAAAGCAACCAAGTACATAGTTACGTTGAATAAGGCTGCCATTTCCCAATTTGTGGATTTCAGGGCCTCTGGGTCAGGGGTCCTGGTGTTAAGGCGGGGCTCTTTTGATTATATAGTGAAATGCATGAATTCTTTGAAAATCTTTTCCTTTGCTCCTGGTTAATATGCCATTGATCTTATTACATATTTATGATGAAGAAAGGTGCCTCTTTCAAAATGGATTAATTCAGGGCTCCTGGGTCAGAGGTATGGGGGGGGGGGTTACTTTGTCTGAAAATAAATTAACGGTTTCAAATCTGCTCTTTGATACTAATCAACCATTTATGATGAAATAAAATTTATGATAAAATTTCCAAAAAATTTAAATATGTGGCCGCAGGGTCAGTGGTTCCTGTGAGGTGGGTGCACAACTGGTGGTTATAAAATGGAAATGCATTTTTTCTGTGTTACTTTGATCTACCTCTAGCATGCTAAGTGTATAATTATAAGCCTCTATCAAATTTTCGAATTTCATGGCTTTTGGATTACACATGACCACGTTAAATTGCTGGAAAGTTGTTACATGATACACAGGTTACCTATAAGGCCCGTGGGCCTCTTGTTGGAGTATATACAGCATTGTTTAGTTTAGATTTCCAATTTTCATGCTTGTTGCACACAGAGCCCCCTTTTTCAGTGAAATACTGGTTCAGAAATATCTATCTAATAATTTCTTATAAACCCTTTAATTTTAGCGTAAAATGAATACCTTTTTAGTATTATCTAAAAATATACATCGTAGACCCCCACTTTTTTTTCTGATTATATAAGATAACTTTGATCATCAATCTGCTCAAATTCAGAAAAAGTTAAGACTTATAGCAAGAGGCCTACGGGCCTTCTAGGTAAGGGTGAAACGTTTACTGAATTTTGTAAACGTTTAAACGAACAGCAGTAATCGAAACGGCACCGTTTAAACGGAAGAATTTTTTGTGTTGAATTTTTATGGATATTTACCACTGAAACACTTTCTTAATAAACCATTTTTTCACTTTCATTTAAGTATGTGTTGTTATTACTATTTATGTACCTTTTTTTAGAGCAGAAGGGTATGAAGCCCATTAAACTAATACATTTATACACCGTCACGTAACATTGCATTAATGGTTTGCTTGGCTACATACCGGATACAAAAAGAGCATTGTAAAATCAAACCTGCAAAGAAAGACCTTTTAATCCCGAATTAAGTATACCACGATCTGCTGATTGTAGCAAAACACTTGAAAGACTTGTGAAAACGTATTTATTTAATTAATCAAACTCAATTAAATTTTACTTTTCAAAACTCAAAAGTCAAACCACATACAAAATAATTGAACAAACTTGCAATAGTAACATCAATCATCGCGAAAGTTCAAAGTTAAAACTGTCAGTCATCAAATGTGGGGAGTGTTGGCAGTGAAGGCATTCCTGTTTCGGGTGTTTCTTGATTTGGCCGAGGAGGGGACTTTGGTTCCTGTTTCACCTGAATAATCTCGGTACCGGGAGTAGATGATAAAGTTTCCTGAGCTACTGCAATTGCAATTTTTTCCTCTTGTTTCAACTGCTTATTCAAGAAAACAAGCTTGTCGACCGAGTCCGAGTCAAGCGATGCTCGCAGCTTGGTAACTGTGCCCCCGGCGGTAGAAAATACGCGCTCTGAGGAAACCGAGGTCGCAGGAATGCAGAGTAATTTCCGGGCTAACATAGATAGCTTCTTATATGTTTCAGTATTTTTCTTCCACCAAATAAAAGGGTTGGATTTCGTATTTACAATTTTTTCCGACACATATAACTTGATTTCATCTTCAATTGTTGCCGGGGCAACAATTTCACAATCAGTTTCATAGTATTCTCCAAGCAAGTACGACATATCATCCTGATTAATACGCCCACGCTTGGTCGTTGGTTCATATTCTTGTGAATTATTCTGTAAATCCGAACAGGATTTTTCAGCAACTGGTTCATTGGGTAGAATGTCAGTTGTGTCACGCTGAAAATAGGATTTGATTGCTTCCTGCACAACAGTTCTCTTCTCCTCAGACAAAAAGGGGAGGGATTTGTACCGTGGATCCAAGAATGAGCAAAGCATCGGAACGCTTTCAACTTCAGAACCAATTGAAAATCTGCTTTCCAAATCAGACTTTACGTGTCTCTTAAATGAGGCCACGGCAACGCAATCCGAGTCCGTGGAAGTTAGGTGTTTGTTGAGTAGGCTGTAAAGTATTGGATATACACCACCATCTTCGCAAGCCAAGGGTTTTCGGTCCGTAACACTCCCCACAAACCCTTGGCAGATTACGCCACTAAAACTGTGGCCAAATTTTCATTGGTTCAGAGGTTCGACCTCTGAACCAATGAAAATACAGCTTTCATTCATAAACAAGATGGCGGTGAAAACCATGTGTAAGAATGTGTTTATCTTCTGTATGACTTAAGATGGAACTTTGTCGATTGTGCGGGGGACAATTACCACAGAAATTTCGTAGGGTTATATTTTCACCTTCGTTCAAGGTTTTTAAACAACTGTCGGAAGTTTTAAATCACAGCCCGTGTGAAAATGACAGTCTATCCCGGTACGTGTGTTACCCTTGCTTTAACAAATTAAATAAATTGGAAAAAATTGACTATGATTTAGAAAATAAACTTAAGGCACTAGAAGCAGAAAAGTCTTCCATATTGCAAGAACTGCGATATAAACATGGTTTACATTCTTCGAGACAAGTCTCGACTTCGACATTTACAACATCAACCGGAATTTCCTCAGATCACAATAGCGTTTCCTTGCCTACAAGTAGTAAAGTTCTTGCCACTCCGACGAAGTGTACAACTCGGACAAAGAGGACAATTGTTCACACACCTACCCCAAGAAAATTTAAGGTCCAAGTCACTCCACGGAAAATAATTTCGGCTGCTCCTTCATCCAGAAAGCGTTTAGGACATCTTTTATTATCACCACTGAAAGCAAAGGTTTGTTTTTGATTTGCATAATGAATATTGAGTTATATCTGTCAATTTTTGTGCTTGCACCTAGGGAAATAGGCTTGCTCGAGGGGAACTGGGTTCTTGCCGACTCCCTCATACTTTAATGGTTTATTATACCGATACAAACAAGAAATTTGAAAAATTTTAAAATCAATGCTGTAACAGTGTTTAATTTTAATTCAAGTGTCCAAGTTTGTAACACGAATTAATATAAAATCATAACAACAACAGTCATTAAAGAACTCAGTGCACATCAGTTTGCCATGTTGATATCACAATACAAGTGGCATAACTTTTACCGTATGAATTAGACGCCACCACCTTGTTATAAAGCATTAACATAGCTGCGTTATGAATATTTACTTGTTTATTTGGAACACATTGGAACTTTTCATATATAAATTAAAAGAAATTGCTTAGTGTTCCAAATAGGTGTGTATCAGTTCATCAGACTGTCACACTTTTTTGCAGGGAATCAGTCCGTTTACAGTGATTTTCAGGGAATCAGCAAAATATATTGATTTATTCTTATAAAGTGAGAAACAATAGAGTTGAAAAAAGTGCAACTGTTCATTTAAATTTACATTGATTATACATTTGTAGGTGTCCTATAGAGGTCAGAATGACCAGAAAGTGAGATCAAGAATTATCAAAGAAAAGGGGCTTTATGGTGTAGTTGTTGGACTTGTTCGAGGCAATAAACCAGAAGTTATTTTAAACAAACTATTAAAATCAAAAGGCTTCAAAGAAAAAGCTTTCAAAACAATAACAAAATATGTGAAAGAAGAATGTAGGTTACTTTGTGGCAAGAAGGATGCATCTGTCTTGCGAGGCAATTCTCCTGATTGTTTGGCTTCTGTAGATTTTCAGGAGATTGCTACTGAATTGAGGAAAAGAGCTCCTGGTTTTTCCCAATTGCTATCAGACATTATGAACACTACAGAACCAGTGGCCTTAGTGTCGTCAGCAGCCATATTGCTGCATCATAGGAATCAAAATATGTCATTGATTCATCATGTAGTTGGTCAGCTACTGGAGCATGGTGGAGCCACAGATGAAGTAAATGAATATATGCCTCATTATCATTATTACAATTAAAAATGATTTAATATGTAAAATATTAATATTTATCTTCACAAAAATGATAATGCATCAATTTTTTTTTAAAACTTGTATTCTTGTTTTGGCTGATTTTATCAGTTATACTTTTCTATCATATTATTATTTATAAACAGTTCCGACTGTAACTGCATTCTGCATATCTCCATATTACAAATGCTTACACTGTAACTCATTTAACATTTCTCCTTTGCTAACAAATTTGACAAAATTTTGATCAGTAATAATTAATTTAATTAATGTTATTTTCTTGGTTGAAATGATAAGAAATAGTAATGTTTTAATGAATATTGAGCAAATGCTAAAACCAAGCTGACTTTATAAATATCAGCTCCAAATGATTAGACCAAGCTTAATATCATATGCATCAAGTAATGTATTATTCATAGTGCTCACTGTTTTATGTACTGTATTTGATTTTAGACAATAGATTTGCTGGCATATCTAGGACTCTCTGTTGGACGTTCATCAACTCAAAAGAAACACACTTTACTGGTGAACAGACAGAAAGAAAAGATTGAAGAAACAATCATCCGTCAAGTACATCAATCAAGTATTCGGTACAAAATGGAGAAAACCAAAGAAATGGTAACACTTCTTGAGGAAAAAGATGTAACTGATACATGCAGCTCAAGCCAGTTTACAAGTTCCAGTCTGCTACAAACTTCACAAGGTAGTGCAATATTTCACCCATACTTTGATGTGAAATTTTCAACTAAGAATGAAAATCAGGGTATAGTAGTTGCAAAGTCATCCATGTCATATGATACAGTAGATTCTTACAAATCTAGATGTACAGCCCCACAAACCAATCAGCTTTCACCACTTAACATTTTTACTAGTATTGGTGTGATACATTGTCCTGCTGTCTCCATGTTCTCATGTTTTGAAGTTAGTCCAAATAGTGGGGTGGTCCAGTCAAATAGTAAATCTACTAGATATTATGGTGAGAAGTATGCTTCTCAACTTGAAGCTCAGTTACAAGAATCTGACATTCAACCAGCATTTGATGTAATTGGTGACAACTTGGACATACTAAAATCAACGTCTTCAATGACAAAAAAAAGCAAAGAAAGAGCTTTCACTGGTTTCTCTTGGTTGGTCTCCAGAGAAGAGTTTTAGTTCCAAGTTTGCCAGATGATAAACCAAAACATGACATTTTAACCTTGCCCAACCACTCATTTCTACCCAGCTCTGAGGAAATTAAAATTTTTGAGAGCAACATGGTACATCACATCTTAAAAGTTCTTACAAAACATGTCGGATGTCTAAAACCCTTTACAGAATGTGTACCAAAATATATCGCCCATCCTTTCATAGAGCAAACTTCCAAAAGATCAACATACTTTATTTTGGATTTGATGGACAAAAATGAAAACTTGCATGATGACATGATTAGTATTCTAGAACACATTCACCAAAAGTATATTGCACACACTTCTGGAGAAAATGCGGAGGTGATAGAGAGGAAAGTGTTTGGTGGTGATGTACTGACTAATGAGCGTGCATATACAGCACAGTTAGCTATGCTTAATTGTGAGACGAATTACCACAAACTTGGAGGAATTATTCATAGACCAGAGGGCCTCCATAGAATGATGAACTTTCTGCTGGTATTTCAGCATGCAATGGTTCTGTTCCAGTTTTGCCAGTTTTTATTTGTTCTTTTTGTAAGTTTTGAATTAGGTAACATTTCCATACACTGTCAACAAACCAATAGTTGTGTGAAAAAGTAAACTAACCTATTGGTCCTATTTACCATCTACAGGCTCTTGAATACAAGCAGAGATAAGTGACAATGATATTTATCAGTATAAAAATACAGTAGACAAAAAATGAACACACAAATAGATGAATGAATTTATATGATGGAAAAAAAAAATCCCCTTGAAATATACTTCAAGTTTGTTGGCAGGACAAGACGTTGGAATAGATAGTTAAGTTAAAAGCATGAACCAGTTCAAAAAGCATGAACCAGTTCAAAAAGCTCACCTGTTGTGAGCTTTTCTGATTTTAATCAGTCTGTCTGAAACTTCCATGGTGAGCATTGTGGTCCATGGACCTTCTGTTAATACTAATTTTATTTTTTACTAATATTAATTTTCTTTTTTGTTACTTAGTGCTTGATTTTAGAGTCTTTCAAATCATTATGCATTATGAAACTACAACTGCAAAGCAAATCTTAGTTATCTTCTAGCAATAGGGCTGTGATGATACAACTTTTTCAAAATCGAGTGGTTTTAATCATTATGCATCTCATATTTATATTAATCATATTTATTTATAAGTTAAACCCATAATGTAAAGTAAACAAAGAAAATATAAGAAAATTTAAAAAAATATTTTAGCACTATTTCAGTATGATCCTTAAACAGAATCAACATTTATGATACATGTTTCTTGATATGGTCCCAGCCCTTGTCTCGCATAGCAGTTGAATTGACAGTAGAACTCAAAACATATAATGCTTTGATTTACAGAATGGGACGCTTTGAAGCTTATCTGTTCATAGATTTTTAAGTTTAGAAATACTTTTTTCCTATTTCTGTTTGAAAAAGAAAAATTATTAAAAAAAAAACCACACATTGAAAAGTTCATATTTAATTTTTGATTTACAAAATTAAATTCTTATTAATATGAAAATTTCTACTTGATAAGATTCTTTTATATGAAACTATTAATTTATTTTACAGTTCATATACCAGGAGTTCTACAAACCATCCTCTTCCTTTGAACAAGGGACTTTATATCAGTTAAGAAATGTCATTCATAGAGTTGATGTCACTGGAAAAGAAAGAGTTGTGGAAGCATTCAGGTATGTTCTCAGAGTGAACCTCACTTTAAAAAAAATCCAGGCATATGTTGTCTTTTATTCAATATTCAGATGTGTTGCATGTACTAATTTCTGTGGTTGTCAATTTAGAGCTCATTTTGCATTTGTGGAGGATGCTTTAGATGCATTCATTCTTGGGGCCGCAATGGACGTCATGGGTTTAGAAGATATCAATGGATCTCCTCAACAGTTTAACCCAAATACCTTATCCTTGTTGAGTGCTGAGGACCAGTTCTCATGGTTTAAGAAGTTGGCAGAGGCCATCATTGACAAGCACATAAATCTACAAGGTTAGCATATTTACTGCAAGCAAATAACTACTGAACCAAACTTTGTATTTATTAACCGAGAAAAAATTTTTAAAGTTGATTTTTGTAATGAGAGTCAGTTGTTGTGTATATATACACATCAAAGTGAGTTTTTTTCTTTTCAACTCTTAGATTCAACTGATCTTCAAGAAATGACACAGGCATCTGCTGAAAGAGATACACAGGATATTCTTATTAAAAACATGTTTGACCCAATGCTGAAACAATATGAGTGTACATGCAGAAAGAAATACAAGACACTTGGCTACTTCAAACGCCACTTGGAGAAGGAACATAACTGGCAGTTTCCCACTGAAACAGTTCACGACACCCAGAACACAGATAAGATTGCAGTTTGGCGTGCATCATTCATGAAAACTGCTCTTATATTAAGAGACACTTGTGATGCATATAAAATGGGTGATGGAGATAGAATATTCATGAATGCGAAATTGGAAATGCTTTGTGCCAGTGTTGCAGGGCACACTAAATACCAGTTGTGGCTGTGGAGGATGATGGCATATGAACAAGCAGTGCTTTCACCTAAGAAAGCAATGGAGTATAAGTGGAATACCACAGCAAATATCAGCGGAACTGTGGATGGGAACATTCCAAATGACAATTTAGTTGAACTTTGTGTCCAGTTAATCAAGAAGAAGCTGAAAGAGCAGGGTGCAAATTTCACATTGAAGAGTGCACAAACAACTGCACTTGCTTGCCAAATTCAGGAGGAATTAAAAGAGAACATTAGGCAACAGCTGTGTAAGAAAGCTGCAGGAAAATCCAGAACCAGATCTGACAAGTCAGCAGACATCGCTCTTATGTTGAATGAAGTGATTTCAGGTGGTCTATTTAAAAACATTCCAGGACGACAATTTGAAAACTTTAAGAATTTTAAGGGTGTTTTTGAAAAAGTTAATCTTCACAAGCTTCATCTTTGGATATCTAAGCACAAGGAAATTGCATCATATGAAATGATTTGAAGTTTAAGTGTTTACCTTGTAGATGTATTTTGATATACAGTAAAACTTGTGTAGTACAAACACGGATATAGCGAATTCAAGGATATAGCGAAGTTTTTCTGGGTCCCCGGCAAAATTCTTAACAAATCTTTGTAAAACTTTATGGTTATAACGAACTCTGATATCATGAATTTACGGATATTGCAAACTGATTTTGAGTCCCCTTGAGTTTAATTGTGATAAAATTTACATCTTTTATAAGAAATTTTGAAAGATTATAAAAAATTGATAAATTGAACTGACTTATTACCATTTAGCATTTGTATATAAAATTCAATTCATAAAACCTTAGTTATTGAAGATATATTTTGCAAAATTTGCTTCCCTAACATATTTGGTAGTAATACTTGCATATTGCGAATTTGCTAAAATGGTTATATGAATTGGTTATACGGATATAACAAATTACGGTTATAGCGAATTAAATTCACAGGTATCAAGTTTTACTGTATATACATATATTAGCTTATACATATCTATATATTTTATGTCATTATATATTCAAGATTATTTGGCCCAGTATGAAAAGAATTTACTGCATCTTTTGTAATTCTCAAAGCAAACCATTTCACTTTGTCACAATTTCAAATGTTAAAACATGTTTTTTTTATTGTTCTGTATAGTGGAATTACAAAATGATACTTTACTGCATCTTGTGTAATTCTCAAAACAAACCATTTCACTTTGACATAATGATTAACTTGTTTTTTTGTTGTTGTTGTTCTGTATAGTGGATAAATAATGATAAAATGATATGTTGCTTTTTGTGAATAGTATCCCAAAAATAAAAAAAAGATAAAAAATAAATTGATCAAGTTTAATATCATTATACAGAAGATAATTCGACTGTAGTAAATCTACAATATGCTGAACAGACTAAATGTCAACATTCTTAATCTTAGGTCACTCAGGTGACTATTGCTATCTGTTTTCATCCGTCGTCAATCGGTCATAAACTTTTGAACATTTTCAGCTTCTTCTCTGGAATGGCTGAGCCAATTTCAACCAAATTTGGTATACAGTATCTATGGGTGAAGGGGAACAAAAATCGTGAAATTCATGGTCCCTGTCCCCCTGGGGCCTGAGGGGTAGGGCCTAAACCACCAAAATTAATGCAATCTTTAAAAATCTTCTTCTTTACTCCTGGACATCTAGCAGTCAAACTGTTGGCATGATGATAATCGGCATTGAGTCCTCTACCAAAATTATGAAATTCCTGGCCCCAGGGTCAGGGGTTCTGGGGTCAGGGTGGGGCTATAAAGATCATATAGTAAAAGTGCATTATTTCTTTGAAAATCTTCTCTGCTCCTGGGAATTAATTAAATTAACTAAGCACATAGTTATGATGAACAAGAATGTCTCTTTCAAAATTATGAATTGTATGGCCCCAGGGTGAGGGGTTCTTGTGTTAGGGTGGGGCTCTAATGATTATATAGTGAAAATACATTAATTCTTTAAAAACGTTCTTCTCTGCTCCTGGGTATTAAATAAACTAACTAAGCACATAGTTATGATGAGCAAGAATGTCTCTTCCAAAATTATGGCCCTAGGGTCAGGGGTTGTTGTTTGGGGGGGGGGGCTCTATTGATTATAGTGAAATTAAGTTAAATGTAACTATACACTTATGAGGAATAATGGTTCCTTTTTCAAAATTTTGAATGCCATGGTGTCTATTTTAAAACATGAACTAAACTCAATCATTGGAAAGTTGTTGCATGATGCTCAGGTGACCTACAAGGCCCATGGACCTCTTGTTTAAAATATTCTAATCTGACTCTGTGTCGGAAGAATCATAAACCAAAATGTCATTAAACACATCATCAAAAATCTGAATTATTTGCTTTGCAGTGTCAACTAACCAAACTGTTGCATATTCCATCACATCATTAACTGTAAATATTTTATGACAATTATCTAATAGACTATTAATGGTTTCATCTCTAAGTTCAGCATGGTCACCAAACAAATCTGGCATGCTACTCTGGGCTGACTGCATTAACTCTAGCTTGTGCTTTAAAGTTGTCTTGTCTTCATCACAGACTTCACGATGGAATGTGTCTTGATCCTGTGGTGATTCCTCCATTGTTTGGTAAGCTGGATGCGTCAACTTGGGACAATCTACACAGTCACATTTCTTCTCACAAACATCACAGCATTTGTGCTTTTGTTCATAAATATGACTAGGTGCACTGTAAGCTTTGCACAGAATGCTTCTTCTGCACTTACTGTCTGTCTTTATCAGTGATAAAACTTCAGGGTCAGTTTTTTTAAAATGCCCCTTGTGATTCTTGTAAAGTATTAATTCATTGGAAAATTCATTGTCTCTTCCTGCCCTGCCCATCTGCTGCGTAAGGCTGTCCAAGTCTCGTGGTGGACCATAATGTATGATGTTGTGTAGGCCCTTGAAATTAACTCCCATCCCAGCAGCGTTTGTACAGAAAAGGACTCTTATTTGTCCTTCTTCAGATTCCATGTCCACACGAATTTTGTCTTTCACGTGTTCTGCTGTTTTGCTGTGGAACATATGTAACATGGAAGAATCACATTTCCTTAAAAATGTACTGTAGAGTAAGGCACAGTCTTTTATGCTGTTGCAAAATACAACATGTCTGGGGGTGTTTATTTTGTCTCTGTTGAGAGTTTCAATAAGCCATTCAAATGTGTCACTAATATCTGCATTATTTTTAATGCATTTCACATTTATTTTAATGTTTGGTCTGTCTGGACTGTCCAGTATGCACACATAATCTTCCCTGAAGCATAAACTTTTCATGATTTTCTTCCTGTTTGATGGACTAGCTGTTGCTGTCAGGGAAAGTAAGGGCACAGTCAGGCTAAGGGATCGAAGCTCACCTATCTTTGAAAAAAATGTTCTGAAGGCTTCCTCATTCTTCTGCCCTTCACCCCTGAAAAATCAAAGTAACTTAAATTATCATTAAGGATTTTGTTTATGTTGTACCACAGATACCTGATCAATAAGTAGCAAATAATACCCAGGAACAAAACAACCCACCTCCTTAATATACATGTGTAACGAATATGTAAATGGAGAGTATGAGATTTTTTTAAACTCCAGGACTTTATGCGCTATATCAGTTAGATTTATTTGGTTCCTGAAATCTCAATTTAATTTACACCAATGTCAGGACTTGCGTTCTACTGAAAGTACTCAAAATTTGATGGCGGGTAGTGTCGATCAATAGATAGATAGATGTGATTATCCATTGGAATGGGATATGATTAGCATTCTGGTAAAATAAAGATGCGATTATCCATTGGAATGGGATATGATTAGCATTCTGGTAAAATAATACAGCTGTGAAATTATGGAATTATTATGGGAACATACCATTGATAAACTGTGTGGGCTTCGTCAACAACTGTCAACTTGTGTCTTGCTGAAAATTCGGGATCCCGGAAGATTTCTCTCCACTCGTCTTTTCCAACCAAAGCTTCAGGACTTCCAAATAAGAACTGGTAGTAACCCTTACGCACATCATCTTTTCGGCAATCTGACTTTCCGATGTATGTTGCCCGGAAACCCAGTCCTGAGAGTCTGTTTACCTGCTCTTTCATGATGCTGAGAAGCGGGGAAACTATGACACACACGGCCGATTGTCCAAACACAACGGGGGAACTCTCATATATGAGTGACTTTCCACTCCCTGTCCTGGTACCTACGAATACATCTTTTCCCTGCTGTATACTTTCTATAGCACGTAACTGATCTTCCGTTAATTTCACTTGAAATACTTTCTCAACCTTTTCTTTCGTGGTCGCCGCCATTATTGTTTTTTTCCATGCACGAACAGCATTATGAAAGCCCTTACCCGATTGGCTAGATTTTGAAGTTAATATATAGAACATCCGCTTGGCGTCGCCACTGCGGGCCACAGTTTTAGTGGCGTAATCTGCCAAGGGTTTGTGGGGAGTGTTACGGACCGAAAACCCTTGGCTTGCGAAGATGATACACCACTTACAGTTGGGTACTCCTCGCTGCACATCACTCTTGTCGCCATATAAAATGGCCGCAGCACTGTTATCATTCCTTCCAAAATTAACCACTGTCCATCACTTAAGTCGAGAATTCTGGCGTCATTTTCTTTGGTAACTTTTTTATCATGCAGAACAGCATACACAGCCATACGTTGCTCCTGCAGACGCTCAAACATATCAAATGTACTATTCCAACGCGTAGGACAGTCAATGATCAAATTGTTCTCAGGGAGGGACATTTGTTTCTGTCGAACATGCAATTCGTTAGTAGCAATAACCGATTTTCTAAAATGAGAAACAAGTTTCTTTGTTGCAGCAATTGTTTTCGATAGAGAACTCGCATTATCGAACCCACCGCGAATTGCTAACTGCAATGTGTGAGCAAAGCATCGAATGTGTTCCCACCGAAGATGCTCAACACAGGACACCATATTCGAAGCATTATCCGTCACTATAGCACATATCTGTGTGTTGTTAACTCCAAACTCATTTGAAATTGAACGGATTTCATTTGCCGTATTTTCTCCTGTGTGTCGCTCTGTAACTTTTCTTGTAGCTAGAACCGAGTTACGATAGTTCCATTGGTCATCAACAAAATGAGCCGTCATTGTTATGTAACCTTCTGTCGCCAGACTAGTCCAGTGATCAGACGTAAACGCAACAGCAATTTGGTTTTTAATGACGTCTTTTAATTTTTGAACAGCATCATTGTATTGGAGAGTGACATAATTTGAAACGGTTGTGCGGGATGGAACTTTAAATTGCGGATTCAGCTCTGTGCAGAATTCCTGAAACCCTCTCCCCTCTACAATACTCAATGGTCGTAGATCACGTGCACACATTAATGCTAGTTTTTGTGTAATTTTCTGATATTTCTCTCTTGTGACTGATAGAAGAGGAGATCTGAAAGCAGTTATCGGTGCTTGTTTTAACTGCTGGGCGACTGGTTTGCTTAAGTTAGTCGATTTATGCTTGAATTTAATGTGGTTCATCATAGTGCCTGTGCTTCCCCCTGCATAAGACAGTTCAATGGCACAAAGATTGCATTTAACCGTCTTTTTACCATTATTTTCAATAACAGTAAAATATTTCCATACCTCACTCCTTTTTTGACCTTCATCAGTCATTTTTTTTAATTTTCTGGCGTCAACAACTTTGATATACTAATAAAAAAAATTACACGATAACAATGATGGATCCGGTTTACGTTCAATATTTTAAAGCTCTATATTCAACAATTTACCGTTATAAGCATGACAATTTGTATTTTCTTAGCAATAAAACGCAGCATTAAATGTTATTTATTTTAAAACATATGCTTGGAAAAATAAAATAATATACTGCTAGTTTTCGCTACTGGGAAATCGGAATTAAAAATGTTAGACCGCATTGGGTTTTAAATAGTTTTGTGAAATATTGTTTCCGGTATCGATTAAAACAGAAAACAATTGTTCGTAAGTAAATTTGTAACAGACAGACTGTGTTTTCTTTGGTAAATATAAAATAAAACAACTTGTTTGTGTCAGATTTTATTTCTGGTAGACATTGATTATGACCTTCGTGTAAACGTTTACTCAATTCGTTAACGTTTAGAGCATTTAATCGAAACGTCGCCGTTTACACGTGTAATCGTTTCGCCCTTACTTCTAGGTCACCTAAGTATCATGTTACAACTTTCAGCAATTGAATTGATTCGTGTTTTCAACCAAAGGCCATGAAATTCTCAATTTTGAAAGAGTCACCATTGCTTATCTTAACAATACATTTATCTTGCTTACTTTGGGTACTTAATACCGAGAGGTAGATCCGAGAAACAAAGAGAAAATCCATTTCCACTTTATAACAAGTTGTTCACCACACCCGACAGGAAACTATGACTCTGGGGGCACATATTGCAAAATTCTGGAAATTTTATCATAAATTTGATTTCATTATAAATGGTTGATTAATACCAAAGAGCAGATTTCAAAGCATTAAGTGGAGGAAGGACCATTAGCTGAAAAAATACCTGTCATTTAATTTTTTTCATATTTTGTATACATCTTATTTAGTATGTCCCACATACTATAAAGCAAACATATCATTAGGTTTCTAGACCTATTTCTGAGATATTGAGTGACAAATACCATAACCCATAGTGTCTGAGCAGAGTTTTGATTATCCGTGTTTCTGGGCCCATTACTCTGTCGATAATTGAATTTTTTCAGCATAGATAAAAAATATGTCAGCGGAAATGTGTCTTTTAAAATATTTCAGAGTATGAATAGGATTAAAAATTCGAAAAAGAAATATTCTTTGTCACACCGCATCTGGAGATGAAAAATGACGTACTTTTTAAGACAACTTAAACAAAAAAATTAATTTGCAAAACATCCTATCATTAAATATTTGAAAATTTACTGTGAAGCCTTTTTAGTAAAGAACTAAGGCGCTTTTCTTCATTTGATTTATTGTTGAATAGTAAATGTATGTAGTAAGAAACTGAAAAAATAAACAACACAGTCATAAGTACAATGTTACACAGACAAACAGGTAAACAGTACAATACATGCAACTCAGGCAGACTAGTACATATCACTATGTGTTTCATTCCATAAATGACTCAATAAAAATATCTCTCTTAATACAAACTTGATTCTTATGACACTTTGTAAATAAACAATTTGCTAAACTTAATATGTAATGAAATTTAATGTTTTGACTAGATAATTCGAGTTGACAATATTTATAATTTGTCGTACATGAAATATTCGACTGAATACGTGACATACAAAGACCATGTGTGCCCTAACCTTGACATTAGCTATCGTTACTAAATTTAGACAAAAGTACAGAATCATGTTTCATAAAATTCTACACATACTACAAATGCATACATCTTCATCTTGCACAAAGTTTATAATTAATTATTAAGAAATGTAATAAACAAGAAAAACTTACTCTATGCGCGGGACTAAAACCGCCAAACATGACATAAGGCTTGCTGGTTTGATGCAGGCGCCATGCCGTCAACCATACTCAAACGGAAAAAGTGTATAAAAAACAAACAGATCACAGATTCAATCCGGAAAAATAACTAAGGGGAACAACTCAATTTCATGTAACACTACATTTACATTGAAATTCAAGTTCGTCATGTTATTGATTTACTGTAAAAATATCAATTAGTGAAGCTGAGCTCAATATTTCATAGGACATACTTAAACAAGACATGAAAATGAGAAAAACGTGTCATGTTTACATTTCTCGAGTACGAGAAAACCCAACTATGATGTCACACATTTGCGAAATAAGCGAAATAAGACATACCTACAAAATATTTCCGTCAATAACAATGTAAAAATATTTTTTGTGTTCTCAAATTCAAATAATACCCCACCATGTACTGATCATGAACCGTTTTTATGATATCATACTACCCGTGTTTCACTTTGTATATAAATCTAAGAGATTGACTATGACGTCAACGACTCGTTGGACGCGCAGTGTAGGGAAACAGAACAGTGAATCAATTTTTTCCGTAATTTGATAATATTTGCAAGAAAGTATGACTCTTTTAAATATTCTTTTACAAGATGGTGAAAGCTAACAAACAGTCAAAAAATTATACAAGAACTGTGGTTTCAATCTCGTTTTGTACATATTTCATCAGAGATTATGACGTATTTAAACTGAGTCATGTGACCATACATCCTTCTTCCCCTTTATTTATTTTCAGTCTATATAACCCCTACCCCAAAGTACCCCTGATTCAGGGGCCGTGAAATGAACCATTTTCGAGAGTCACCGTTCATCATCACTAATACTAGTATGTACTTAGAACATTGCTCTCCTCCCGTAACCTCGAGTTATTGTTCTTAGCACGAGTTATCTGTTCCTTATAGCAGGTATCACAAAACTTCCGGTTTAAGAGCAAATGTCGCGGATAACTGAATCAGTGTGAAATGTTAATTTTTTTTAAGAATTAAAGTTAAACTAGCGAGTCTGAAGTTCGTCTCTGGATAAATGTATGATCTGATACAATGTACAGTATTAAATTTTAAAATTTGACCGAAACACACAATTAAAAATTACAATCTAAATGCATATATACCATATATTGGCCAAGTTTTGACCCCCCCCCCCCCCAAAATGACGATATTGAAAACAAAATGCGAGACGAATATGTTGGAATGTCTCTGCGGATTATGTCAAATAATTAAGGCATCTAATTTCCACAATATTCTTCACATAAAAGGTAAGTCTTCGCTGAATATGAAACTCATAACGTATAAGAGGAAGAAATTGTCAATTTTGAAAGTAAACATCTCTGCAATTAAATGGGCTTATACAAGTTCCTAATGATATTGCAAAAAGAAAATATTAATATATATTCAAATGTACTACATCCATATTTGAACGGAAATAGTTTTATTGCAATGCCATTTTTGTTTATATTATGGATGCATTATAGAGAGACACGAATTACGTCCCCTTTTTCTCGGAATATGTTTAAATTACTAGTACTGTTAATTTAGCATAAAAATATTTATTGAAACCACCCACACGCATTTTTGTTGCAGTCTGATGATCCTCTAATGTTCATATATCCGAATAGTTCTCTAACTTATAAAAAAAAGTTGGAACCAAACCCCAAACCACCCCTCACGAAATAGGCACAGTAACAACTAATTAACTAAGGACGTTAATCATAATCTAGAGCCAGTTCAGTTTATTCACTTTAAAACATGGTTCAAGACTGAGGTACAATTACATATATACAAGTACTGGTATATAATATTTGATCAAGCAAGGAGGGATTACATATAGCTGAATAAAAAATAGACCAGGCTAATTCTTTTGAGAAAATGACATCACAAAGCTTCATGGTTGTTTTATAGAACAAATTTTCTAGACCCAAGAATTTTTCCAGCAAATTACAATAAACAATATTCTAAAATAAAGTCATGTCATTTCTTGTTTGAGTGTAAAAAAAAATTATTTACAATTACCGGTATGTCAATTTCTTATTATGATCCTGTTCATTCAAGTTTGACTACGAAATGAAAATTACTAACATTCCGAAAAAATGGTTCCTTGTACTTTATTCTCATACATTATCATCATACATTAATGTGCACGTCAATCAGGAATATCGTTTAAAGATATAAAAAAAATTCCCCACACTAATGCATATTATTGAGAATATATATATATCTTTATCGTTTCTATATCAAGTATGCAAGTCCATAGTACCCCCCCCCCCCCGGAATAACTGGACATTTGCTGCTTATTAGGTATCGAAGTTCTCATTCATAGACAGGCTTGCAGGTCCTCCTTTCCCTCTGCACTATTGTTGCAGTATGATATTGTACTGGATTTTCTTTTACGGTTTTACGGAAAACGAGTGCGAGTGAGAACAGAGGACCCCCCCCTTCCCCCACGAAATATGTTCTTCGTTTTTTAATAGTTTTCTGTTTTCCCTTAACTAATTTTAAAAATCATTTAATTTTTTTATTTGCTTGCCATTTTTTTTTTAAATTTGCCTTTTCAATCCCCCCTTTCTTTCCTTTGAAGAGCGATGCTTTGACTACATGCCTGCTATGTAGAATATCTTGAAAATGTGATAAGCAATCAATGATGCGACATGTTCCACAAATTTCCAGAGATTATTTTCTAGAGTTTTGACCTTCAAACACTTTGAAAAAATAAAGCTGAATTTAAAAAGAAAACATTTAGACAGATTTTTATTTACAACATTCTTTTACCTCATTACCGGAAATTTTACAATACCTGCTATTAGGAAAGATAACTCGTGTTAAGAACGATAATTCGAGTTTACGAGAAGAGAGAATACCCAGGAGCAAAGGAAACGATTTTCAAAGAATTCATGCATTTCCACAATTTAATCATTAGAGCCCCGCCCTAACACCAGAACCCCCGACCCAGGGGCCCTGAAATTCACAAACTTTCCTCATCATAACTATTTACGTAGTTCAATGGTTAAATACCCAGGAGCAGAGAAGATTTTTGAAGAATTAATTTATTTTCACTATATAAACATGGAGCCCCATATAACACTGGAACCCCTGACCCTTGGGCCATGAAATTCACAATTTTGGAAGAGGCAGTCTAATTCGACAAAACT